AGTCAGGCTTTGAGAAGATTGCGAGTGCTGCAACTTCAAAAGAAGCTTGAGACATTTTGGCAAATGCCTACAAAGGCGCGGACCGTGTGAAGCAGGTCAGACTTCAAACTCTTCGAGGAGAGTTGGAGGGGATGAAGATGAAGGAAACCGAAGGAGTGTCGGACTTCATCACCAGGGTTCAGACCGTGGTGAACCGGTTGAAACAGAATGGAAAGGTGTTGACCAACTCTAGAATTGTTGAAAAGATTCCGAGGTCGTTGACAGACGACTTCGAAAATGTGGTATGTCCAATTGAGGAGTCTCAGGACTTGGCTACGCTTTCTGTTGAAGAGCTAGCTGGTTCTCTTGAAGCGCATGAGCTGCGTAAGAAGAAAAAGAAGGAGGAATCTCTTGAGCAAGCACTCCAGACAAAAGCAACAATTAAGGATGAAAAAGTGTTGTACTCTCAGAATGTCCGAGGTAGAGGTCGTGGACGAGGTGGACATAGAAATGGCCGACGTGGTCGTGACCGAGGTCAGGAGGTGAAACATGAAGAAAGTGCTGAGACGAGTCAGCAAAACTGGAGAGGTAGAGGACGTGGCCGAGGTGGAAGAGGCTGGTGGTCGAATCAAAGTAATATAGAATGTTATAAGTGTGGCAAGCATGGTCACTACGCAAAAGATTGCAACTCGGACAGATGCTATAACTGTGGCCGAGTTGGGCATTTTGCTAAAGATTGCCGAGATGAAAGAAGAGTTGACGAGACTTCAAACTTCGCTGCAGAAGGAGAAATAAGATATGGAAGAGTTCTGATGTTAGCACATGGTGAAACTAGCTCGTAGAGTGAGACGGAGTGGTACTTGGATATTGATGCCAGTAATCACATGTGTGGTTACAAACATTTGTTCAAAGAGTTGAGAACGGTGGAAGCCGGACATGTCTCTTTTGGAGACGCGTCCAAAACTGATGTGAAAGGCCGTGGTACGGTCTACTTTCTACAAAAGGATGGACGGGTTGGAACAATTCGGGATGTGTACTATGTGCCCGAGCTCAAAACTAACATTTGGAGCATTGGACAGTTGATGGAGAAAGGTTACTCGGTTCTAACGACAGACCGAGTTCTACTATTGAAAGATAAACAAGGGCGTCTGATAGCCCGAGTTCAGATGGAAAAGAACAGAATGTACAAGATGAGTTTGAGGAGCGTGGAGGTCGGCTGTCTGCAAGCCGAGGTAGAGGATAAGATGTCTCTGTGGCATCGACGGTTTGGACACCTTCATTACGGTGGTCTAGCCAAGCTGATGAAGAAGAACATGGTAGTGGGACTGCCAAAGATAAATTTCGAAAGAAAGTTCTATGAAGACTGTGTGCTGGGTAAGCACACAAGAAGCCCGTTCCAAAGGATGGCAAGATACCAGGCTAAGCAGCCTTTGAAATTGATACATACCGACCTGTGTGGACCCATAAGTCCGGGGTCCTTCAGTGGAAAGAGATACTTTGTTTCGTTTATTGATGATCTCAGTCGTAAGACTTGGGTATATTTTTTGAAGGAGAAGTCCGAGGTGCTAGAGGCCTTTAAGAGGTTTAAAGTGATGATAGAAAATGCAACCAGGAGATACATCAAGTCGGTCCGTTCTGACCGAGGTGGCGAGTACGTTTCAACAGCCTTTAAAAAGTATTATGAAGAACACGGGATAAGGCGGTTCCTGACCGCGCCGTACACACCACAACAAAACGGAGTTGCTGAAAGAAAGAACCAGACTATCTTGGTATGGTGCGTTCTATGTTGAAGACTAAGAATATGCCTAAGGAGTTTTGGGGAGAAGCCGTACAATGTGCTGTGTACGTGCAGAATAGATGTCCGCATTTAAGTGTGAATGATAAAACCCCACAGTAAGCATGGAGTGGTCTAAAGCCATCAGTGGCTCATTTCAAGATTTTTGGTAGTGTTGCGTATGCACACATACCGGACCAGCTCAGAACGAAGCTTTAAGATAAGAGTAAGAGGTTTGTGTTTATTGGATATGGTGAAAAGACGAAGGGGTACAAGTTGTTGGATCCCGTCAATAAAAGGGTGTTGGTAAGCCGAGATTGAAATAACAAATTAGATCCGGGTTGACAACAAGTCTGCAATTGAGTTAGCAAAGAACCCAGTCAACCATGAGAGGAGTAAGCATATAGATGCCAGGTTTCATTTCATCCGGGATCAAGTCAAGGAAGGAAAGGTGGAGCTCACTCATGTTGCAAGCCGAGATCAAGTTGGTGACATATTTACGAAGTCGTTGCCAACGTTGCTGTTAGAAAATTTCAAGAAGAAGATTGGGATGAAGGATGGTCGAAGAATTTAAAGCTTATGGGGGAGTTTTGTTGGGATAAGTTTTAAATTAAATAAAAGAAAAATAGAAAAAGAAAGGTTTATGGTGAAGAGGTGTGTCCCTAGGTATCTGTTAGTGGACAATTAATATGTTTAGATTTCCTATGTTAGTCATCATCACTCTTAATCATTTGTTATTGCTTATAAATAGCACACTATAACTCTTGTAAAATAGAGAGGCAGAATCAGTAATACAATAAAGATATATTCAGAGAATTGTCTGTGTATTTGTGTGTGTGAGCACCAGTTATAGGGCCTGTGAAATAACAGTCTTGAGCTTGGTGATTACCTATTTACTTCTATCCTCCAATGCATGAGGGTTCGAATTCTAGGCCTTTCAAAACCCTAGTTTCAGTTTCATCTGGATTTTATTTATTTCCTCTCTCTCTCCTTTTTTTTTTAACTGAAGAGAATTGTTTCTTGTGGGCATAGTTGTTGGCGGATCAGGAGTATGAGAGTCATTGATATGAATTTTTCTACAAAGGGATTCAGCTTTGGTATGCTGTACAATGATTGAGCTTGAGCATGGCAAGGTTTTTATATCTAATTTTATTTTATTTTCAATTAATTAGTGAGAGATTCTTGTTGAAATTAGAATCCAAAATATAATTTAATATTAAGAAAAAAGGAAATATATTATCCCGATGTAAATTTTAGGCTTTTTTATCCTTCTATGCAAAATCTAAAAGACATTTTACTTGTTTAATTATTTATTAATCGCATGCAAGTGAAACATGCATAAGAAGTTTGTGCATTAAGTCATACATCACCTCCTGCTCGACTTGCTTACCGCATGTCATATTTTGCAAGACACATAGGAATGAATGCGCACTGTCATGATGTGCATCTTTCATTATGTGTTGATTTTGCACAAGTTATACACCAAGTTGGTACGTGACTTAAATGTACATCTTGTGTTGATTTTTGCACTAAATCGTACATGAAGTTGGTATGCGACTTAAAGGCATACACATATATTAAATTGATAAATAATTTGTCAAAAAATTAAATCAGTAAAATATTTGAGTATTTGCATAAAAAACTCATTGTGGATATAACCAATTAACTATATTGCGATATATGACTCAGACTGTATTATCATATTAATTTTAGTTAGGGGTGTGCAAAAATAACCAAAAAACTGAACCGAACCATAAACCGAACTGAACCACCCCTTAAAATAACCGATTTTTAAAAAACCAGTTCATGAACCGAACCAGTTTTTAAAGAACCAGTTCATGAACCGAACCGGTTTTTAGAACCAGTTTAAGAACCGAACTATTTTGAACCGAACCGAACCGTTTCTGAACCGAACCGCACTGTTTTCAAACCGAACCAAATTGATTTTTATAACTTTATTTTTTAAATTTTAAATTTTTTTCTTTTCAAAAGAGGGTCGACCCGAACCGTTTCTGAACCGTTCCGAACCGGTTTCGAACCGAACCGTTTCCTACCGAACTGAACCACTTCCGAATCGAACCAATTTTGAACCGAACCGAACCACTTCCGAACCAAACCATTTAAACCAATTTGGTTCGATTTTTCAAAAAAACTGATTCAGTTCGACCCATGCACATCCCTAATTTTATTAATCCCGGCCATTGATCTAATACACATAATCTATCATTAGCCCTTATCTTTTCGAATGAAGTTTTCCAAATGAATCGGTCATGGGTTGTTCAATCGATATAAATATATAAATTTATTAATAAATATCTTGAGGTTTTGACTCGGCTTTCAAAACTGCATATATTCCTTGGAATTTGGAAATTACACCAGCTAGGAGTGATTCTTACAATTCCATATCATATCATTCCATTTCCTTTAATTTCTCTCTCAACATATATAGCAAATATATAGCTATGTATAGCAAAAGGAAAAAAGAAAATGATCAGATCAAAATACATCTATAATATGAAATACCTATACTATTTTAGTCTCCATTAATTGTACCAATAATAACACTTCAAATTAAGTACGTACATAAAACACTAGCACCATGTTGAATTAATACATGCCAAATTGAATCAGAAGAAAATATATATGGAAAAAACTATTCTCTTTTAACAATATATATATATATATAGGGAACACTAGCACCATGTTGAATTAATACATGCCAAATTGAATCAGAAGAAAATATATATAGAAAAAACTATTCTCCTTTAACAAAATATATATATATATATATATATATATATATATATATATATATATATATATATATATATATAAGGATCCGTTTATAAATTTTTGCAAATTGTTTTCGCGTGAGTACATAATGTAGTTTGTAAACAAAAAATTTATAAATATAAATCTTCCCTCTATATATATATATATATATATATATATATATATATATAGGAATTAAGATGGAAAACTAAAAATTAAGTAACCGTGAAGCAAGATATCCAAAAATATCGTTTTCCATGAATTGAATCAGTTAAGATCTGATTGTCTATATCTATCTGTATTTCCTGCCATTTCTCTCCATCTCCCATTTTTTTCCATTCCATGTTTCATACGAGAAAATAAGGGGAGAGAATGCCCCAGAAAAAGTCCCTTCCCATCAAAAACTGCAGTACCTTCCCCGCCGGAGACGCAGCTGATATCTCACCCCCTTTTTTTTTGTTGTTCCCCAAAAACTATGAACAGAAACAACATCAACAACAACAACACCATCTCAAGAAATGGAAACAACAGCACCACCCAGGCTTGCGCGGCTTGTAAGTACCAACGCAGGAAGTGCGCTCCTGACTGCATTCTCGCACCTTATTTTCCTCACGATCGCCAACGACAATTCCTAAATGCCCATAAATTATTTGGTGTTAGCAGCATCACCAAAATCATCAAGGATCTTGACCCTCACGACAAAGACCAAGCCATGCGCACCATCATTTATCAATCTGACATGAGAGCTAGTGATCCTGTTGGTGGTTGCTACAGATACATTCAAGACCTTCAAGCCAATATTGAATATTACAGGGCTGAGCTTGAGCTTGTCCTTCAACAACTCGCCATTTTCAGGGCACAAGCTCAACAACAACACCAACACCATGTTTATGGTACAACAACAGCAGCAATCAACATCAATAATGTTGATGATGTTATGAATGCAGATCCATTGAGCTTATATAACTCGTCAGCTCATTACTCCTATCTTCAACAAATGACACAACAGGAACAGTACATCATGGCACACGAGACCAATGAAAATAACATCAATAACAACAACAACACCCCTTTGCAAGAACATGTTAATACCTGGGCCATGCAGAACTCCATGTCCCTTTCATCCTTGTCATTGCAGGGTCAAACTAGTAACGCAAGTGATGAATATGATCATAAGCCAATGCTTGATATACCTTCTGATGAAAGAAGTGAATTAGGATTCGAGTCTGAAGAACTAATCCACCGCAGGTATGTTTGTCTATTATGCAGATAGTAATTTGAAAATGTTATGAAATTACTTTATGTAATAATTGCATCCATATATAAAAGGGGCGAATAGAAGCACTGGTGGAGCTGTTCCTTCCTAACTGAAGAGTTAAAGGTTCAAATTCAAGAAACAATCTTTTTGCAATTATGCAAGGCCCGCAAGGGTAAGACTGCGTACAAGAATTACCTCCCCCCACACTCGAGCTCGCTGAACAAGAATTAATATTGATTAATTCTTTATTTTTCTTGATCTTAATATGAAAAGAGATTAGAATCTTATCCATATTAATAATTGTTCCCCACCCGAAACTGAACTTTTCCCTTTCCTGAGCCGTAGCCATCATGAGTTCTGTTGTCCTCCATCTTCCGAATTTTATAGCCCTAATGTGTCCTATTAAAGAAATAAAGTGGGCTTTTTAATATTTGGATCAACTCGCTGAACAAGAATTAATATTGATTAATTCTTTATTTTTCTTAATCTTTATCCTTTGCAACTGCCTTTATCCCTTAGAATTGGTGATTTATTACTTTAAACCTGAAACAATATGAAAAAAGATTTGAATCTTATCCAGTTGTTGGTATTTTAATATCTTTTAGATTTTATTAACTAACACTATATTTTTAATTATTTTAATTATTATTTGAACTATTTTAATAATAAAAATATAGTGTCTTGGACACTTATCAAATCACACACACGGTGGTTTTTTTAATAAATGCATCCATATATATATAGTATAAACTCGAATCTCATTATGTAATTTATTGGACTTAATTGTTGAGATATGTTATATAAGATCTATAAAGTCATCCATGTTCATTCCAACAAAATAAATTGGAGCTATGATTATATATACTATGTTATGTTTTTCATTGATGCATATCATCTTCTAACATGATCTAGTTTTTGACTTTAAATAATATATGCAGTGATGAAGCAGTTTTGTTTAAGATAGACGATGCAGTAATAAAAGGAGAGGCTGACTGCATCCAACAATCTCAGGATCATGATCTGAAAGGTGCAGCAACTTTGTTTACTCTCACAAATTGTAGTAGCTGAGGTGTTAATTAGCATATATAGATTGTAGAAGAAGATGCTTTCCCACTCTCATTTCGAGGCTAAAATTTTGCAACAATGCTTGTATGCGGCTATAGTTATACCCTTTCTTTCATAGGATCTTTTTTATTATTATTAATTTTTTTTATTCTAATAAAAAAAGATACTATCCCCTCTCTTGGAGGTCTGATTCAATGAAAGGAATGAACAGATTAGATTTATGTGCTTCTCGCGAGCAATACTTTTCTTTTCTTTTCTTTTTTTCTTTTCTTACAGTAAGCCAAATGTGGTGCACAAGAATTACAACATATAGACTACGTCATGGACACATCTGAAAAAATAAGCTGATGAACAAGGACAAAAATTTGCAATGCCATACTTTATCAACTGGCTCTGTTGTATCAAACTTGGAGTCCCTAATAGTGTGCTTGAAGAAAATTGAGTTTTTGCACATCTAAAACAATAAACACGCCCACAGCTCAAGAAAAAAATTTGAGAACGTACACAATACAACATGTATGATTTTGATATTGGCATGTAACAGACATCTCCACTTCAAGGAAACAACAATCATGTCATCTTCACGTCAAAACTTGAGACTTGCATGGCCCCAAATATGCATGTTTGGATGCAAACATCCATAACCATGACTCCCATAGTCTCTTTAGTTCTAAACATGTCCTGGTAAGATATCTGCTTTTCCCTTGCTACAGTTCTTTCTTCTATTTTCTGTTAAACCTCATCTTGTGTCAGTCACGGAGAAATAACATGGAGGGGAAGAAGGGTTGGAGAGAAAAGAAACCATGAGAGAAGAGAAGAGAATCGTGACCCATTAAAATGCTTGGATATTACTCGATCAACCACATTTTATTATTTTAACTACATAAAATAATTATTTCTAATATTCTTGACTTTACCTGTTGAAATCCAAAGAATTAGTGAATGGAAACATTGTATTGAAAAATTATGATGAAGATTACAGAAGACTATTCTATTTATATCTAGATTAAACCGCAAACTAATCTAACAAATATGAAACTAACTCTAAACTAGTTACAAGTTAGTTATGAGTAAATAATAGTCTGCTGCACTCATATCTGCAGACTTGATACATATGCAGGACTTCAACACCCCCTCTCAAGTCGGAAGATAGATGTCTCGAAGACCCAATTTGTTAACTAAATATTTAAAAGGTCCAGGACTCAATGCTTTGGTGAAGTTGTCTGCCAGTTGAATGGAAGAAGCAATAGGCAAAAGATGAATGAGCTTCTGATTGATCTTTTTCCGAATTAGATGGCAGTCTATCTCTATATGCTTTGTTCTCTCGTGAAAGCTAGGATTATGAGCTAGATAAATTGCTGAACGGTTATCACAATAGATGGGAATAGCTTGTGTCAGATCCATTTGCAAGTCAGCAAGAATATAACGAATCCACTGCATTTCACAAGTAAGGGCTGCTAGTGCCCTATATTCAGCTTCTGAAGAGGATCGTGACACTGTTGTTTGCTTCTTTGATCTCCAACCAACCAAGGAAGAACCAAGAAAAACGCAATAACCAGTAATGGATCTTCGTGTGTCTGGACAAGTTGCCCAGTCAGAATCAGCAAAACCACAAGGCTTCAAGTCATTCTTGGCAGAAAAGAACATACCATTTCCTGGAGCTCCTTTCAGATACTTCAGTACCCGTATTGCAACCTTCATATGGACATCTGTAGGAGCACTCATGTGCTGACTAAGTTGTTGAACCACATAGCAAATATCTGGCCTTGTAGTTGTCAAGTATAAAAGCCTTCCTACAAGTCTTCTATAGCTGCCTGCATCTTCACATAATTCTCCTTTCCCTTGTTCAAGCTTTGTTCCTGGTTCCATAGGTGTCGAATATGGTTTTCCACCTAAGACACCTCCATCATTAATCAGCTCAAGGGCATATTTTCGTTGATTAACAAACAGACCTTCTTCAGTTCTCAATATCTCTAAACCGAGAAAATAGTGCAAGGACCCAAGGTCTTTGATCTTGAATTCTGAATCTAAGAACTCTTTAACCCTCTTAATTTCTTCCATGTCATTGCCAGCTAAAACTATATCATCTACATAAATGAGTAATGCAGTGAAAGAGTTTGAACTGGACTTTATGAGTAAGGAATGATCACCCTCAGATTGTTTATACCCAATTGAAAGCAAAGCTGAAGTAAGTCTTGAGTACCATTGTCTAGTCGCCTGCTTCAACCCATATAGAGACCTTTGCAACTTACAAACTTGGTTACTTTTCCCAGTCTTCATCCCTGGTGGCAAGACCATATACACTTCTTCATTTAATTCACCATGAAGAAATGCATTATTGACATCAAGCTGTTCTAAATACCACCCCCGCGCAGTGGCAACACTGAGAAGAATGCGAATGGTTGTAACTTTAGCAACCGGAGAAAAAGTGTCAAGGAAATCAACACCCTCAAGTTGGGTGTACCCTTTAGCCACCAACCTGGCTTTGTGTCTCTCTATAGAACCATTTGCTCGGTACTTGACTTTGAAGACCCATTTACAACCAATGGGATGTTTGTGAGAGGGAAGATCAGTGACAGTCCAGGTATTATTCTGGGACAAAGCAAGAAGCTCAGCTGCCATAGCATCCCTCCAACAAGAATGCTCAACAGCCTCTTCATAAGTTTTTGGCTCAGTAGTGGTACTTAAGGCACAGCATAAGGTGATATGAGATTGAGGACAAGCATCATAAGAGATGACAGAAGAGATAGGGTAAGGGAATGGTGTGGAGGAAGAAGTATGAGAAAAATTACAATGAAAATCTCGAAGGTAGGATGGTTGTCTTGTTGGCCGAGTAGATTTACGAGGGGGCTCAACATGAGCAGGATCAGGAGTCTCAAGAAAAGTAGGTGCAGGATTAAGGGGGATAGACTCAACGGAAGTAATCTCAGTATTAAAAGGAGGAGGAGAAATGGGTTCAGAAAAAGTAGGATCAAGGGTAATAGCCTCAGTGTGAGGTTCAGGTATAAAGGTAGTGGTTGAGGAAGTGGGTCCGTGGTTAGGCATGGGAAAGAGTTCAAGGTCATGGGATTTGGCAGAAGGACAAGTCAATGGGGCATTGATGTGGTAGGGTAGGTTATGTAAGGGAAAAGTAGTTTCATGAAAGAGGACATTGCGTGAGAGCAAAAGCTGATGGGGTTGCAAGTCCAAAAGTACATATCCTTTAGTACCATCTTTAAAACCAAGAAAAAGGCACTTTCTAGCACGGGGAGCAAACTTCGTTCGATGAGCAGAAAGTGTACTGACAAAGCATAAACATCCAAAAACTTTGAGATGTGTTAAAGAAGGTGCACTAGCATACAGAACCTCATAAGGAGTTCTATTTTGAAGAATAGTAGTAGTAACTCTATTGATCAAGTGAACAGCATGTAATATGCAAAATGACTAGTACTTGAGAGATAAATTCGCTTGGAAAAAAAGGCTTCTTGCCACATTGAGAATATGTTGGTGTTTTCTTTCAACTACACCATTCTGCTGTGGACTTTCAACACAAGTCCTATGATGAATAATTCCCAAGTTGTCATAAAATTCTTGCATCAAAAATTCCATTCCATTATCACTTCTGATTACTTTAACATAAGCATTGAACTGATTTTTGATAAGCATAAGAAAATTACGCAAATGACTTCTAGTTTCTCCCTTATTTGGCATCAAAATCACCCATGTGAATCTTGAAAAATCATCTACTATGGTTAGAAAATATCTATCACCATTTACAGAGGCCACAGAAAATGGACCCCAGATATCAGCATGCACAAGCTCAAAGGCTTTAGAAGTGCGACTAGTGCTAGAATCATAGGAAAGTTTTCTCTGTTTAGCTAGGGGACATATGTCACAAATAGTCCCACTCTTATTGCTAGATACAAAAGGAAATTTATTACACATATTCTGCATTACAGTATCGGATATGTGTCCTAAACAATAATGCCATAGCATAGAACTATCAACAGAGGCACTATTGCTTTGCCTAGGAAAGTCTGCTTTGGACTTCATGAAAGCATCTTCTGTCGAATTGAGAACAAACAGGCCATTGGAAAGTTTAGCAGAACCAATCACTTGTCTTGAATGGATCTGTTTGATGCAGCAAAAGGAATCACGAAAAATGAGTTCACATTGAGCAGAAAGTAACAATTTTGTGACTGATATGAGGTTCACACAAAATTCTGGAACATAGAGCACTTCAGACAACTGTAAACTTGAAGACAAATGAACTATTCCAGAGTAATGTGCTGTAACCTTATGTCCATTCGGGAGAGTGATGTCAATTGGTTTGATTTTATTGAGAGAAAAGAAGAAACTACCAATGGAGCATATATGATCAGTAGCTCCTGTATCAAGTATCCAATGAGAAAGAGACTTACCAGAAGATTGATCTGAATTAGCACTGAGAGTCATGCTTTGTGTTTGAACAAAATTTGCATGATGATCATTCGAGTGACCAGTCGAGGAAGCAGTGGTAACATTGGGCTCTATCTTCGATTGCTGCCAAAAATCAAGAAGATCTTTATACTCTTGATGTGACACCAGCAATTTATCATCATCCTTGTGTTTTTCATTATTCACGTTTGCATCAGAAACAACAGCATTAGCTGAGCTTGTTCTTGGTCTGTTCCCAAATCCAGGTGCATTTGACCTGTTTCCAAAGCCAGGTGGATATCCATGCTTAGCATAGCATGTATCCACAGTATGATTAGTTCTCCCACAGTGCGTGCAAAGTCTGGTGCCACGTCCTCTACCAGTGTAACTCTTGTTTCTGTTGAACATTGGACGGTTTCTCTGCTGATCAACAGTGAATGCCTTTGCATCTGTTGGAGTTTCAAAATGAAATTCAGAATTCATTTGCCTTTCTTGTTGTACAACAAGTGAAAAGGCCTTATTCATTCCAGGTAATGGATCCATGAGCATGATCTGTGATCGAACATGAGTGAATTGGTCACTCAAGCCTCTTAAGAACCGAATTACTTGATCACGCTCTCTTCCTTCTTTTATCTTGTTTGATGCACCACAAGTGCAATTTGGCAATGGTTGGAGATTATCCAACTCATCCCACAGTGATTTCAAATGAGTGTAGAAGTCACTCACAGAACGTTCTCCTTGTTGAAGACGTTGAATATCTTCTTGCAGATCCGCAACTCTAAAAACATCCGATTGTGAAAATCGTTCAGATAAGTTCTTCCATACATCAACAGCTCGCTCCATCCACAGTATGGATTTCGCGATGGATTCATCAATGGAACGATGCAGCCACAACAACACAGTGATATTGCATCTTTCCCAAGCCTTGAACAGAGGATCAGTTTCTGCAGGAACCGTGTAAGTTCCATCAACAAAGCATAGCTTGTTCTTGGACAATAGAGCCATTTTCATAGCACGCACCCAGCCATGGTAGTTACGTCCGTTCAATACTGGAGTAACAAGAACCAAGGATGGACTTTCACTGGGATGCAGATACAAAGAATTCGATGGATTTGACAGATAATCTGGAAGAGAACTCTGATTCGCCATTGAATCAAGAAGAAAAGTAGCAAAGAAAACTAAAGAATCTTGAAGAAAAAGAATCGAAAGGCGAATATCAGAGCTCTCTTCAGAGCTCTGATACCATGTTGAAATCCAAAGAATTAGTGAATGAAAACATTGTATTGAAAAATTATGATGAAGATTACAGAAGACTATTCTATTTATATCTAGATTAAACCGCAAACTAATCTAACAAATATGAAACTAACTCTAAACTAGTTACAAGTTAGTTATGAGTAAATAATAGTCTGCTGCACTCATATCTGCAGACTTGATACATATGCAGGACTTCAACATTACCTCTTAGGAATATATGTAATCGCATGTTTCACAGATATTAACCGAGAAAGTGTGTATCATTTTATTTTAAAGGATGTAAAATTGTGTCATTTTAAGTGAGAAAAAAAGATAAATCATGATAAAAGAGAGAGTAGACAAAAAAATTAAAAGTGTGAGTCTCACCTCTTTGTAAAAGTAAAATGACACAAAGTATGTCATTTAAAAGGATAAATATTTTTTTAATATTAATACATATATATCCTTCATAAATATTAGCTCAGTATATTTCTCAAGCTATTAAATAAGAAAAGTGATACATTTATGGACAATATAGCTCACAATTTCCCGGGTAGTGTCTTATGAGCCATTTGAAGACTTTTATTAATGGCCCGAACTTGACATCTTATCAAGTTATAATTTGTTACATAAGACGATGTGAGTTTCATATAATAATTCCCCCCCTCCCTCCTCCGTAAATAATTTGACAGGACTTATTAAATAATATTTTTAATATATAATAATTTATATTTAATATATATTGCAATCTATAATAAGTCATATAATCAATTAAATATTCAAATTTCAGAAAATCAAAAATAATTTTTCATACTTTGTTAACTTTTCATATCAAACTCTATAATAAAAAATATTTGATTTATAAATTAATTTTTTATGTTTAGTTAAAAAGATAAAATAAATAAAATTTGAATCTGCATGAATGTTAACCGCATGTCAAAAAATTTGACTACATATCGAGCGTTAATCACATGCCAGAATCCAACATATTTTTTTTTTACAAAAAATAATATGTCGGTACTTCTTAACATATAGATATATGAAATAAAAATATCAAAATTACTTTTGTAAATTAAGCTTTCAAAATTTATTATTGCATTTAAAATATTCATCAAGGATCTTGACCCTCACAACAAAGACAAGCCATGCGCACCATCATTTATCAATCTGACATGAGAGCTAGTGATCCTGTTGGTGGTTGCTACAGATACATTCAAGACCTTCAAGCCAATATTGAATATTACAGGGCTGAGCTTGAGCTTGTCCTTCAACAACTCGCCATTTTCAGGTCACAAGCTCAACAACAACAACACCATGTTTATGGTACAACAACAACAATCAATATCAATAATGTTGATGATGTTATGAATGCTGATCCATTGAGCTTATATAACTCGTCAGCTCATTACTCTTATCTTCAACAAATGACACAACAGGAACAAGTACCATCATGGCACATGAGAACAATGAAAATAACATCAATAACAACAACACCCCTTTGCAAGAACATGTTAATACCTGGGCCATGCAGAACTCCATGTCCCTTTCATCCTTGTCATTGCAGGGTCAAAATAGTAATGCAAGTGATGAATATGATCATAAGCCAATGCTTGATATACCTTCTGATGAAAGAAGTGAGTTAGGATTCGAGTCTGAAGAACTAATCCACCGCAGGTAGGTTTGTCTATTATATATGCAGATAGTAATTTGAAAATGTTATGAAATTACATTTTGTAATAATTGCATCCATATATAAAAGTGGGCGTACTGGAGCACTGGTGAAACTGTTCCTTCATAATTGAAGGGTCATGGATTCGAATTCAGAAAATAGCTTCTTTGCAATTATGCAAGGGTAAGACTGCTTACGAAAATTGCCTCCACCCCACACTTACTAGTCGGGTTTAACGGGTATGATTTTTTTAATAATTGCATCCATATATAGTATAGACTGGAATCTCATTATGTAATTTATTGGACTTAATTGTTGAGATACGTGATATAAGATCTATAAAGTCATCCATGTTCATTCCAACAAAATAAATTGGAGCTATGATTATATATAGTATTATATGTTTTTAATTGACGACGCATAGCATCTTCTTGTTGGGAGGAGGATATTTGAGAAAAGTAAAGGTTATAGAAAGATATGGAGGAAGAGAACACTTTTATTACTACACAACTCTTTTTCTTTTTTGGCTTGTTACAAAATGATGGAGATGACCCCTATTTATACTAGTGGCACCTCCTCAAAACAATGACTCCAAATAATTCTAGAGTTTTCTATACTAGCCTAGTACAAATATTAATTGTGGTAGGTGCAACTACCCTCGTTAATAATGGTAGGTGCAACTACCTTCTAGATCTTTCATTGAATTAACTAGAATAAAAATTTCTAGATCTTGTGCTAAATGTATACTAAGTCCAATGGACCAAAAACTAAATCAAGTTTATTTATTCAACACCCCCCCCCCCCCCAACTTGATTTTGTAACTCCAAGCAATTTTCTCATATGACAAAGTCTTCATTCTTGAGTGGCTTGGTGAAGATATCTGCTGCTTATTCTTGAGACTTCACATATTTTATATGCACCTCATTTCTTGCAATGCATTCCCTTATAAAGTGATAGTGTGTGTCAATGTGCTTACTTCTATCATGGAAGACTGGATTCTTTGCTAATGCAATGGCAGATTTGTTGTCAACATAAATATTGGTTGGCTCCTCTTGTTGCATACTCAACTCCTTTAGCAAGTTCCTTAGCCAAATGGCGTGGCAAACACACGATGTAGCTGCGACATATTCGGCTTCACAAGTAGACAGAGTGACAATAGGTTGTTTCTTTGACATCCATGTGAAAGCAGTATCTCCTGTGTAGAACACAAATCCAGTGGTGCTTTTCCTATCATCCATGTCTCCAGCCCAATCGCTATCATTATATCCAACAAGTTTATATTCATTAGAGGATGAGTAAAACAAGTCAAAGTCGATAGTACCTTTAATGTAGCGGAGGATTCTCTTTGCAGCCTTCAAGTGCGTGGTAGATGGAGTCTCCATGTAGCGACTAACGAATCCAACAGCAAAGAGAATGTCAGGTCTGGTGCATGTCAAGTAGCACAAACTTTCAACTAAGCTTTTGAAGAAAGTAGGATCAACATCTTCTCCTACACCATACTTAGACAACTTAACTTCATATTCCATTGGGGTGTTGATAGACTTGCAATCGTCCATCTTGAATTTCTTCAGTATCTCCCTTGTGTAACCTTCTTGAGTGATGAAAAAACCTTCTTCTTTCTGCTTGATTTCAATGCCAAGATAATATGCCATTTGTCCAATGTCAGTCATCTCAAACTCCTTCTTCATCACTTTCTTGAACTCTTCAAACATCCTTGGATTGTTTCCGGTGAAGACTAGATCATCCACGTACAAGCACACGATCAAAATATCTCCATCTTTGAGCTTGACATAAAGTGCATGCTCATAAGGGCATTTGATGAAACCATTTTTTTGACCGCGTGTCAAAAAAAGTTGATTGCATGTTGCAAAAACATGTCAGAACATTGACCGCGTGTTTCAAAATATTGACCGCATGTCAAAACGTATCGATATCCAATACGCATTTTTTTGAAATTTTTGCGTGTCCAGGTTTCATTGCTAAAAACTGTCAAAAAACAATTAACAACAAAAAAGAAGCAAAAATTGCCTCAAAAGTAGTCAAATCTAATAACATGTTCTAAATAAAAGTTAGTGTAATTAAATATCAATGAAATTATAACTATAGCAAGGCAGCACTACTTTTGAAGAAAAAGTAACTTAATTGAATGATCAAAATAAGAAAGGAACCGTAAATGAAATTTGGTAACTAAACCACATAGCATTACAATCTGAAAAAAACTGGGGCAAAACACGAGTCTTATAATTTGCACATATTACAAAAATTTTGGAGCATAAACTAGGTGAATGACACCTAAAGAATGAGACAAATTTTCAGCTTATCCTGGTGCTGAGGATAACTCGAATCAGACATGATTTTTCCCAACACATTGTAAATCGTAGGTTGCATAATTTCAACCTCACTCCATAAAATACAAGACAATGACCCCAAAGTTTATACTCAGATATTTCCTTAAAAGGAATTAGCAGCAGGACTCCAATATTGATACACAAAACTGCTTCGTCATTTGGGGAAACAGGTTAGTAATCCAAATCATCCATATCTGGTACCCTGCTGGGAGGTTTATTTTTGTCATTTGGATTCTCCAGCACAGCTGCCTCGGTTGTCGTTAGTAGCAATGAGACACTGCCATGAGGATAAAATAGTTTAACATATAATGTAATATAATCTATGCAGAGATATTGCAACGCCATTATATGATTTTACCTGGCAGCATCTACCAAAGCTGTTCTAACAACTTTAACAGGATCTATAATTCCAGCCTTTACCATATCAACATAGGCACCTGTTTTAGAAGAATAAGCACCATCATCCTTCAGGCACAAATTAGGCATAAAAAGATAACTACGGACAACCTCTTTTTAGAGTATAATTATTCAGAATTTTCTTCTTAAATGTCAAGTATAATAAACTAGACAGCAAATAGTGCAAACTGCAAACTAGTAATAAATGTTTTAGCTTGTAACTAAATGAACCAAAACAAGCAACCAGACCAACAGGAAACTTATTCCATTACCTTGGACAGTAGCCGATGCAAAAAATAAAATACTAACAGGAGGCAAATAGTAATCATAATGGATTTCAATGTAAATTTGTCTATGTAAACTGATTACGAACCTTTAGCAGCATCAAAACCCAAATTGTGATCATCTTGTTCCAACAATTTGCTGTGAACCACAGCACCATCAAAACCAGCATTTGAAGCTATTGTAACCGTAGGTGCCTATGATGAATAATATGCATTATTAGGAACGACGCAAAATTAACAAGCAAGTAAAAAAGTAAAAAATACAGAAGAGAGATGGGCCCTTTCTGTTACAAAATTAAAGTAGGGTGCAGCCAACGATGCAACCTTGAGTGCATTCTGAATAATCTGTACTCCTCTTTTCTCATCCTCATTTTGAACTTGAAGGTTCTCCAAGACTTTGGAAGCATATAAGAGAGCAACTCCACCACCTGATTAAGACAATCACATATTGACTTTAATAGATGAACACGTATAATGTGAAGAAGAATACAAAGTAAATTCATGCTAATGGCCACCCTCAGCATACTTTTTGTCCCATCAGAAAAAAAGGACAATATGAGTTACCTGGAACAATTCCCTCCTCCACAGCTGCCCTAGTAGCATTTAAAGCATCTGTCACCCTATCTTTCCTTTCCCCAACTTCCACCTCACTAGCCCCCCCAACCTGAAGATATTTGGTTCCATCTTCCATGTGAAGTAATGAACACAAATTATTCATCACAAACTAGTTTTTTTAAGGATGAGTTACAAACTTTGAAAACAGCTACACCACCAGATAGTTTTGATAGGCGTTCCTGTGCTTTTTCTTTATCAAACGTGGCAGAACTCTTTTCCATAGCTGTCCTCAGCTAAAAAACGATATACGCTAATTAGACATCATAAAATACCCAAAAAAAGTTTATACTAATTCAAGGACTCTTGGCTACAAGCCACATGAAGGCAATCTAAACCGAGTAATGGCAAACATTGTCATGATATGTCAACTTTTTAAGCTGAAACGTCAGAGTTAGGTATAATTTTAAGGTATACTCAACAGATATCACTTGATGTACATTGTTTCAAAATTATAAACTTGGCAGTACGCACAAAACACTCAATGGCATGAACCCACCAAGAACATAATAATTTGTTTGAGAGATCTATAAGAAAATAAATCACAAGACAAAAAACTATTGTCATGTAGTGCTGCATGTACAAGGAAATATGATTACAATGGCAAAGAAAAAGTGCTCCAAATGCACGCATAGAATAAGACCTAAATTGAGAACCTAGTAATTCTTTACATTAAAATCAATTAGTTATGCAAGTAACAGATATGTAGAAAAATAACTAAGCTAAATGACTAAAACACTTAAAAAAAAGTACAAATCTAATACTTAAAAAAATACCTGTTCACATCTCTCTTCAATGAGCATCTTATCCCCACCACCATGGAGAATGATAGTGTCATCAACAGAGACAGTAACCTATTGCACTAGCACATTAGATTAGATGCATATATAACAGTTCGAATAACCAAAGATTACTTATGTTGGTTCAAGCCACACACCTTTTTTGCACTGCCAAGCATTTCTGGTTGGACTTTGTCAAGAGTCAAACCTCGATCTTCTGTGATGACCTGTTTTTAAATTCATCATAACCTTTTTCATAATATACAACAAGCGGTAGTCCCAATTGCAAGACCTTGGATAGATTAGTCATTATTAAAATCTAGAAAAACAGTGCATCCCTAACAGGTACCCATCTGCAATATCTGATAAATGAAATGTTGGTGGGGTATTACCTCTCCTCCAGTAAGAATTGCAAGATCATCTAGATTTGCTCTTCTACTATCACCAAAACCAGGAGCTTTTATAGCACAAACCTAAAATACAATAAACTTGAAATAAAGTGGAAAACAAGTATATACAAAATCAAGTTCCAAAGCTTGGGCGATATAAAGGGCAAGCACATAAGAATTCTTACAAATCCATAAAGACTACATACCTTAAACAAACATGCAAACTAGAAAATGCAAAACATGTACCAGATATACACTTGAAAGGTACTGCCAGAAAATCCATCTATGATATTCAAAATTCTTCTACAGATGATAAATTTTATAAAATATATCTGTAAACACGAAGGACTTGAGTATCTGATAGCATCCACTTAATGTATATGTATTTATAAAATCCATAGTTCGCTTGTCATTTCCAAAGGTTTTGCAGAAAGATGTTTCTCGCCCTTAATTAAATAGTATCAACTAAATGAAAATTTGAATGTTCAAGGAATTGGGAACACTTTTCAAGGGTGTTCAGATATAAAGTAAGAAGATAATGACCGTAAACAGACAATGCACAGTTCAAATTACTTCTCTTATGGAGTTACTAGTATATGGACAGCAGTCTTTATTTTGTTTAGTTTGGAAATTAAAATTGTTTTCTCATCATTATTATTTTGTTGTTTATCTAACTTCTGATCGCTTATCCTCAGTCTTTATATGGACAGCAGTCTTTATTTTGTTTAGTTTGTAAATTAAAATTGTTTTCTCATCATTATTATTTTGTTGTTTTATCACTTTATCTAACTTGTGATCACTTATCCTCATGACACCCAACATAAAATGAAAGGAAACAAAACAGAAAAAGATGAATAGGCAGGAAAGCAACACAAGAAAGCAAAAGCCAGATCTTACGCAGCATAAAAGATCATCAACAATTAGTAAATTCGTTATTAGTTATTGCAAAGAAATAAATCGAAAATCAGAGAAAGGCAAGAATATAGCATTGAAGTTTATTGAACCATAAGGTAGTAGGAAATATAGCCAAGATGAAAGCCACTTGAACACCTTAAGCCCAGCTTGATGCTTGTTGAGTATGAGCATAGCCAATGCGTCACTCTCGACATCTTCCGCAACAACTAGGAGCGGTCTTTTTTTCTGATGAACATTAAAATATGAAATAAAAAAAAAGAATATTCAAATTGTAAATGAAAATGAGCACATGTAATCAAGATTAGCTTATCCACCGTTACTGCCAGCTCCAATATTTTCAACAGTGAATTCATGTCAGAAATTTTCTTGTCATGGATGAGGATAAAGGGGTTCTCCAATTCCTAACAAAATGGAAATTACCTTTATTATCACAAAAACAGCTGAACCCAAATAAAACTAAACAAATTGGATGAAGCTTTTATTTACAAGACATGCATAATTTACAACTGAATAAATCAAGTCAATACTTTTGACAAATTGATTCTATAGATTAGCATGAAGCTATCAAGAACAAATTTCAACAAAAAATCATAAGTAACATATTGAAAAATGAAAATAGGCTTTAGAGCAATGAGCCAAAACCCTTGTCCTTACAGCATGACCACAAGACAGTAAGATACACAACAATAAGGCCTCTTTTATAGAAGAATAAACTTCACGGCAACCAAAGGGCACTTTGTAATAAAAAGAAATAATGAGAAAAAGAAAAAAAGTCCTAAAATGTACCATCAGCAAATGCTTATCATAGGTAAATCTATTGTAAGAAAACAAGCTAATTAATTTTTTGAAGAATTTTTAGATACATGCTAGTGACAAAAGAATAAGTCTGCACTTACACATTTCCGGGTCTTCTGATCAGTAATAAAATAAGGAGATATGTAGCCTCTGTTTAACTTCATTCCTTCTACCACTTCCAACTCATTATCCAAAGTGTTCCCATCCTAGGAGCATTAAAATTTTAGATCACCTGCACTGTAACTAAGTCAAGTACTAAGTTCACAGAAATGGACAAAGTTGCTTACAGCAACAGTAATGATTCCTTCCTTCCCAACTTTCTCCATTGCCCTTGCTATCAATTCTCCAATATCACGCTCCCCATTTGCAGATATAGTTCCAACCTGTTCGTCAAATAAAAGAAATGAATAGCCAGCAAACAAAACTAAACCTAGTATAAAAATGGTACTTAATTATCAATCAAGAATATAAGTAGCATAGGTAAATCCATTGTCGTGCCAAAATTATTCATGCCTATGCACCTAAATTAATTATAGAAGGAAGTACACAACCATTAAACAGTAGATCAATGTTCTAAAGCAAAATTCATTCAGCAGGGGAAAAGTTTTTTTTGAGAAGCCCTTTCACCTGGGTTATCTCTTCTGGTGTACTTATCATTAATGCACTGCTTTTCAAGTCAGTAATTACAGCATCAACTGCCTTATTTATCCCATTACGCAAATCCATGACATTTACACCAGCAGCAATTGATTTGCATCCTTCTATGAGTATTGCCTGAGTCAAAACAGTTGCACAAGTTGTACCTGGAATCAGAGAATAAATATTGACTTGTAAAATATGAAGGAATTAAAAGTACTAAAAAAAGAATAGATACGAGGTGATCTCTATGTTTCCTCCCAACATGAAAAAGGGTTGAAATTTTTAAGAGAGATTATTTTCAAACTCATAATACTAGATAAAGTAAGAAATTCAAAGAGTGACAACTACCAGTGGACATAGTCCTCTTCTTCTTTGATATATATTTTTTTCCTTCTGTTTGATAAGTAATTTCAGATCACTTAAGCACATTAGATCCCAAAATCCAAATGTGCTTTTTGAAAGAACATCCTCAGGAACTATGAGTCTATGACTACTTTATTAACAAGTCTATATTAAATGCCCTGAGATTTAAATAATTTCCGATTCTTGGCTTCCAAAAAGCTACTTGTAGGACCTATATAGAAGTACTATTATCAAAGAAAATAAATTTTTAGTGATTGATGAACATTCATAGAATACTTTCAAGGTAAAAAGTTTGAGAAAAGTAATCACCATCTCCAGCAGCAGTGTTGGTAGCCTTGGCCACCTGCTTGACCAGATCTGCACCAACATTTTTGGCTTTGTCTTTAAATTTGATACTCTTGGCTACAGTCACACCATCCTTCGTCACCCTAGGATTCCCATGACTTTTCTCAATTATCACATTGCGACCCTGACTCAACCAATTCGAAATAAAATAAAATAAAGTTACTCTTAATCATGGCAATTTCGACCGTTCAGGTTTATCATCCAAGACCCATTAGGCCATTACAAACCTTAGGAACAAAAATGAATAATTTGGAAATACTAAGATCTCTCGACAAGAAGGCGAATGAGGGGTAGTGGTAAAGCTATTCCTTTGTGACTGAAAAGCCACAATTTTAAATACAGGAAATAATATCTTTGCAAATATGAAAGATAAGACTGGGTACAATGATTGCTCTCACCCCTACCCCTGCTCATATGCTAGTTGGGGTTTAATAGGTTGGTTTTCTTAAGATCTGTTGTCAAACCATAGGGTCTAACTTGCAAGCATGTGTAAGAAATTACCGAGGAATGCACTCAGCAACAAAATAAGCCCATAGCATCAGATCAGCTACACTAAATGAGTAGGATACACGGACACTAAAATGATGAACAGAAAATAGTGTACTGGAGAAATAATAATACCTTGGGTCCCATGGTAACTTTGACAGCGTCGGCAACTTCAGAGACCCCTTGCAGTATAGGGGCTCGAGCCCCAACCCCAAAGTTTATATCTTTGCTTACATAACTTCTGCTTGACAATACCCCACTACGTACCTGTCTCCAATTTTTTTTTTTTTCAAAAAAAGAAAAAGAAAAAGAAATTGAGATGAACGCACACACGTCCCTCTAATAAAACATAATAAAACAAAACAACACTGATTCAGATTACAGAAACGATCTCATTTCCATCTACTCATTCTCCCAGCAAAGCCAGCTAATTTGAAATTCACAAGCTAGCTCCATGCTAAAAGGTTACACTTTACATTTCAAAAAAGAAGTAGAATCGTTTTTTCTACCATGAACACGTAAATTATCAACCAGATACATATAACACGGTCCATTTTGCAGCAATAAATTCTTATAGTAATAATAATATAAGAAGAAGAATAAGATGAAGAGTAATTGGCGTTAGTCTTACAAGGTTCTTTGAAGTGGAAGTAACGACGGAGGAAGCTAATTTAGAAGATAATCGATACATTGCAATGGCAATTGCAGAAACTGAGAGTGAGAGGAAATGACACCAAATAGAATATCAAAATAGGGCTTTAGAGAGGGTTTAAGCTTTGTTATTTTACTGCGCTTTTTTATTCTTTTTTCTTTTCCAAGTTCTGGAAAATCAGTCAAACGGACATGACGGCCCAACCCAAACAATAAAATGTACCTACTTCCCAACTCCTAAGTACTTGGGTTTCTTTGGAATTCCGCTTTATCTTTATTATTTTGATACATATTATTCTTTATTTTTATTTTTTTATAAAACTTTGTCTCTTTTAAAAATATAATTTTATGTCATTTTAATTAAAATGACTGTATTCATGTGTATATTTAATAATTTTTTTATATTTTTTCTTTCATAATATTTTCTTTTTAGTTTTGTGGAGAAGAAAAAAAATTAAAAACATTTAATATATACCAAAGTACAGTTATTTCACTTGTTAGAATTTATTTAAAAAATGAATTTTTAAAAAGTATACTTTTGTTTTGTTATCCTGTTTGGAATGAGGTGAAAGGTTGAAATTTAAGAAAGTAATATTTAAAAAGGGAAAATATGTTTGCAAGGGATAATTTTAAAAGGTGGATGAGACTCATTATTTTTATTATTTCTCTTCCGATTGATCTCACTTATTATTTTTATGTTATATATTTGTAAATTGTATATTTTCCTTCAAATATATATATATATATATATATATATATATATATATATATATATATATATATATAAAAGATAAGACGATACACAATCGAAGAGAATCATGTATTCGAGTACGAAAATAATTTTATGAACCCAGATGTACCTTATTCAAGTTTAACAGGAGTTAGTTTGATATAAACTTTAAAATTGCATGTGAAAGTTTTATTATGGATTACTTTTTTAAATACAAAAAAAAATTATAATTTCTTTTATTTTTATAAAGCAGCAAATTAAAAATAGAGAATTCATTTTAGGAATAGGATATTGTAACAAGGAATTAGTGTTACTACTAATGTTATTACCAATTAATTTCACAATTAAATCGATTATGTTGATCTAATGATTATATTTATTTTCATCTTTGTATGGTAATGATTTTTCATATTTAATGCTTTCATTTAGGTATGGTGAATCATAACCATACAAAGATAAAATTAAATATAATGATTAGATCAATACAATTGATTTAAAGGTCAAATTGATTCACGGTGATACTAGTTTACAATATACTTCACCTTCATTTTATATATATTTCTTCGGAGGCTATGTTTTTACGGGTTCAACTTAACTGCTATCTCAAATCCCTACGTCATGTAAAAACTATATAATTAGTCTGGGGTGATCCAAATTACGCACTAATTGAGTATCACTAGCATGAAGTTCATGAGTGGTTAATTTAAGCTCTTATGCAGTAAATTCTTGACTCCCTTGTACTTAGTTGTCCTTTATCTTGTGAGAAATCCTTTCCCTTTCGTTGCGCAAAGCCACAAAGACATAGACAAAGAGAAAGCGAGCACCAAGTGTTTGATAATTGTCTTGTGAGAAGAAAAAGCAATATATTTATGGCAAACAGCAAATATGAGTATGTCAAGTCTTTTGAACTCGAGGACGAGGTCCTGTTTCCCAATTTCATCCTTGTTTGGATCAATGCCCATGCTCATAGGTGTCCTCTCCTTCACAAACCTTATGATGAAAAGGTCTTAAAATTGATGAACTCTTGTGCTGTTGCGGTGCTTGAAGAGTATGCGGATGTGGTCTTAGCCTATGGGTTCAGTGGTGAGTACACTTTTGTTTTCAAGAAGAGCTCCAAGTTTTACGAAAGGCGCGATAGCAAAGTGCTATCCATCATCACTTCCTTTTTCTCAGCTGTCTTTGTGACAAAATGGACTCAATTCTTCCCACAAAAGGAACTACAATATCCTCCTTCGTTCCATGGGAAAGTCACAGCCTGTGCATCCATTGAGTCCCTTCAAGCTTATCTTTTGTGGAGGCAAAATATCTGCCATGTGAGTGATCAATATGATCAATGCTTTTATCGTCTTGTTCAGCGCGGAATGACTGAGAGGGAAGCAATGGATTTCCTCAAGGGTGCTGAGAAATGCAATCTGAATGATCTTCTATTTAATGAGTTCAATGTCAACTACAATACTCTGGACCCCATTTTCCGACAAGGGTCTTGTGTTTTAAAAACAATAGTAGAAGATGTTGTGAAGTACAATGAGAATGGTGCACCCATTAAAAGGCACAGGAGAAAGATAATCACTTTGCATTCAAAGAAAATAGCAAGCAGAAGATTTTGGAATGAGCAGACTGTTCTTTTGAAGGAGCTTGGTGGGTTTGTGGAGGATATTGACAATGTGAAAGCAGAGTATGTGAGGTCCTTTGAATTTGATAGCAAGTTGATGCCATCTACATGGATTGTAGTTCGACTAGATGGATGCCACTTCCATAGATTTTCTGAGGTACATGAATTTGTGAAGCCAAATGATGAGAGGGCTCTTAACTTGATGAATTCATGTGCAGTGGCAATCTTACAAGAGTTTCCACAGGATATAGTCTTTGCCTATGGGGTTAGTGATGAGTATAGCTTTATTCTTAAGAAAACCACTGATCTTTATCAAAGGAGAGCTTGTAAAATCATTTCTGCTATTGTGTCTTTCTTCACATCCACTTACGTGATGAGATGGAAAGATTTCTTTCCACAGAGTGAGTTAAACTACCCTCCTTTTTTTGATGGACGAGCAGTGTGCTATCCTTCTACTGAGATTCTAAGGGACTATCTTTCATGGAGACAAGTGGATTGCCACATCAACAATCAGTACAACTCTTGTTTTTGGAAGCTTGTTGCTTCTGGAAAGAGCAAAAGGGAAGCCCAGCATAGTTTAAAGGGTGCTCAGCTGCAAAAGAAAATTGAGGAATTGGCTATTAACTATGATAAATTACCAATTATGTTCCGACAAGGATCCTCAGTTTTCTGGGACAGGGTAGACAATGGTCTTATTCTTCAGGAGAATGGAGAGTGTTCTGAAAGTTTTGGGAAAGTAATTGTAGAACACAATGACATCATTGGATCAGCCTTTTGGTTGGAACACCCAAGCATCCTTGATTAAAAGCAATAGGTGCAGCGTAGCGTTGAGTATGCAAATTCAATTTGATTACTTTATTTAACCCTTTGATATTTATATTTTCTTGTTGTAGCAATGTCTTAGAACTGATTTGAAGATGGGCACGCAATAGGAGCCAGAGGCATAAATCTGGTATCAATGTATGATAATATAATCTGGCATAAGTTTGTTTTATTGCCCTTGATGTTTGATCATTGAAATATTGAGTTTGAGCTGACTTATTTAAGAGTTAACTATCTTTTCTTTCGTATAAGCCTTTCATAATGCACGATCAAGACAAAACTAACCCACCAAAAAAAAAATCAGTTGTCAATAGCAAACGAATTCTGATGCAAATAATTTTCTACGGAACCGATGAATGATGAGTGAACTTGAAAATTACTTTTGTATCAATCACAGATGTCAAACGTTGAAATGTTTTTTTTTTTTTGGTAATGTGAAATGTTTTTTATTTCCAAAGGAAAGGGCGTTGCCATATAAGAGAAATACCTCTCTTTGGTACAATTTTATAAGATATATTATGATATTCATTTATTAAATACTTTCAGGATAAATATATGTCTATTTTTTTACTTTAAAAATAATCTCACCAACACAAATTCTCATATTTTTTATTACAAAAAAAAAAAATCTCATATTTTGAAAGCCTTAGTAATTATGCACATTACCATCATCGTTTTAATAATAAAGATACTCTTTGGAGAGGACACAAATATTTCGCCATCGAGCCATAAAAGCCAAATCAAAATATTATTCATGGCTAAGCCTAAATGGAACCACTTTTATTTATTTATTTATGATGCTGTCTGGTCATCCCTTGCCATTTCTAATTTTCTACTTTTAAATATTTTTTATCAACTTTTAAATATTTTTTTATCCAAATGGATTTTGCAGCAGAAGTGTTCCCCCCTTTCTCTGAAAAATAGCAGCTTTTGTCTATAAAAAAACCTATCCAACGGGGCATAACTCCCAGTTTTATCGTAACTTTTAAATATTTTTTATGATTGAAGTTGCTATATTAATTATATTTTGTTCACTTAATCTTCCATTCGTTTCTAACTCAAGTCGTTTCAACTAGAAAATTAGATGACGATTAGAGTAATACATTCTTTTTCCTTTTTTCTTTTTTCAAACAGAGTAATACATTCTTACCTAATCATATGCATCAAAATCTAATCCCTTCAAAACTTCCTCCCAAATAAACTTAGGAGACGTTTGGTACGATGGTTTTTTCTTAATTTTCGAGAAACTGAATTTTTTTAAATTTTAAATTTTCGGATATTATCGTAAACTGGATGTAAAAATCATATTTTTGAAAATTGAGATTATCGGACAAAAAAAAAATTCTCCTCTACCAAACGCCCCATTAGATAATAGAAGTATCATGTAACATGGTAATAGATACAATATATGTGAGATCCACCAATATATATTTTCTTTTTGAAAAAAACAACTTAATAAAAAAATGTGGATGTGCAGGAATGGGAGTCGGGGTCCTGTAGCAGGATAATCGCAAAACCCATAAACTTAGATATTAAAAATACAATTGAAAGAATGTGTCATACACATGCCTGCCAACTAAATGGATTTTTTAATTTTACTAGTTTAACTTGTTTTCATTTTATTTTATTTTATAAACTCATATAGATCAAACTACCTAGTGTGGTAGTAGCACACTATTAAAGTCAAAACTGTCATTTATTTCATTAAAAAATAAATAAAAAATATATCTTAGAATGTTTTATTTTTTCGTCTTATTATAAAAAAATAATATAAAAACAATATGGATCATCTGTCTCCCACTAAAACTTCAGCAATCTTTGATGCCATTTGGTAGCATTTAGAATTACAAACATTTAATTAATCATAAACAAATCAGAAAAATATACCAAACTAAAACCAGAATTACAAGAAATCAAAAAAAAAAAAAAAAAACAAGAACCAAAAAAAAAAAAAATAAGAAGAAGAAGAACATGACATCACACCTGTGTCTGCAATTTTTGTTTCACCCTCCCTATGATCATCCAACGGTCCATTTCCAAACCTTGAACCTCATATCAACCTGGCACTCGGAGTTCGTTGTCGACGCCGTCGCCGGTTTCTTGCCGGCGGGAAGAGTGACGGCGATGCCATCACACAAAACTCTGATTCCAACAGGAGGCGTCTTCAACGGACCCATCTTGGCCTCCACCTTCGTTTCCAAATTCACCTTCAACGTTAACTCATTCTTGCTTTTCAAACTCGCCTTCAGTTGCGTCAGAGCATCGTTCTCCGGTGCCTGCATGCTGTTCTCAACCGAAGCTTTCAGCACCGTCGTGTTCTTCTCCGCGTGCTCGAACGAGGGTATGGCGCCGTCGCCGACGTTGACGTCGCCGGAGAGGATGGAGACGGAGGTGGTTAGGTAAGAGAAGACGATTTTATTGTTGGGGTTTGTTGCGGAAAGGGTGAGGTCGAACTTGGAGTTGAGGGTGGAGGAGGAGGTCAGGTTGAGGTAGGAGAGTTTGAGGGATGTGACGGAGAAGGAAGGACGGTGGGGGTGGTAGAGGAAGTAGACGGCGGTGACGGCGACGCCGAGGAGGAGGAGGAGGAAGAGGAAGATCAGGGTGAGCCAGAAGCAGAGGGTGCAACAGCATCCTCGCTGGCTACGGCGGTGGTTGGGTTGAGGACGGTAGGTGGGGCGGGTGGCGCCGTAGAGCTGAGCTTTTGTGGCAGGGAATGATGGGTTGGCGGCGGCGGCGGCTGCGCCGCCGTTGGCGGTGGACTTGGCCGAAGGGTGGACTCTATCTGTCATGGTTTTTTTTGAGTTTGTGGTGTTTGTGAAAATGTATGAATGAAGAGGAAAGGAAAAAGTGGTGGATGATTAAGAGAAAGGAAAGGTGTTTGATATAGATTTTGTTTTAAGAGAAGTTAAAAGGAAGAAGGTATGTGCATGTGACTATAAGGACTGAGGAGTGTATGGAATAGATATAGAAGTTTAGGAGATTGTTTTGGGTAATTGTGGGGCTTAAGTATGGATTAAAGTAACAAACACGATGGCACAAATGATAAGGAGTTTGTGTAGAGACATATAAGACATGATAGTATAAGCTTATACTATATGTTATGAAATTTTCAGTTGTTTGCTGTTATAGTATAAGCTTATACAACATAATCCCTTAATACATCAAAATTATGTATAACTAAATCCGGCCTAAGGATGAGGGATACATCAAAATTATGTATAACTAAATCCGGCCTAAGGATGAGGAATAAGGTCTGATAAGAGATTGATGTATTAACATCGTTGACCAATGTAATTTTCAAAAATTAATATATTATTTTAATATTAATCTATTAAAATAAAAATTAATTTTTAAAATATTGAATCTTTTTATTTTTAAAAAATTAATTTATATTTTAGACACACTTATCAATAAATTTTTATAAAAATTAATATCATAATATATTTTTTAAAGATATATATAATTCTCAGATGTCTTGTGTTCGAGTTTTGGAATGAAAAAATGATCTTAAAATAGTCATCCTTTCTATAAGATTTTACTATGCTCGAACCGAATTAATTCCAAGGATGAATCCATTGAAGAGATTTTAAAAAAATGTGGATTAAAGTTAAAGAGTTATACTGAAATTTGGAGAAGAGGGAATAGATTGTGAGGGAAATGTGGGTGGTGAGGGGAATGAGAGAGTGTGATGGCAATGTTCCAACCAGCTCTTTGCTAGCTCTCTCTCACGCTGGGCGCGTAAAGAATGCTTTCTGACTCTCTCACTGATTCTTAATTCTCATTAATCACATAATGTTGTTTAAGGTCAACTTGATTTTAATTTACGAAATTAAAAAAATATTAATCTTTGACCGAAGGGAGCAATATCTTTGGTAATTGTAATGATCATATTAAATAACATTGATGTATTCGAGGGAAACATCACATTTTGATCATTAAAGAGCTCAATATAAAAAGAAGTTTTCGTTTCCAAATTACTCGCAGAGGGCAATGACCGCATGGATTAGCTGATCTCATGGAAGACTCATCATAATTAAATTCATCACTTTTCTGTTTATTGCTAGCTCTTTATACAGCATTCATATTTTTTCACCTGAAATATAAAACAAGATAACAATACAGATTTTTGTAAATATAAAATTTGCAGTGCGATTAGTCAATTATGACGGACGACAAATATTTTGTTTTTTTTCCTCCGGATATCACACGGGTAATTCACTAGTTATGTATATAACATAAGAGATGCTACCTCATGTGATATGAGAAAAGAGAAGTTCAAAAATAGAAAAATATCAGGTTATTGGACCATCCAATAGTATTATTCATGGAAATTGATCCTCTCATGTGTAATTTAACATGATCATATCATGTGAGAGGATTTTAACCATTAATAATTAAATCAACGGTGATGATTGTGTATCCTTATATTTTTTCTCTTTCCTCCTTTATCACCATTAATTCATTCATGTATGGTTATGATTGCCCCACATAACATGATCATGTTAATTAACACATGAAAAAATTCATTCACATTATTCATGGGTATTTTTTCACAACATATTAATCATTTCCTGAAGAATGTCCTCTACACACATAAATAGAAGTTGAGTTGTTTTCTCAAAGAAACGTGAATATTAAGTTTAGCTGGATGACGATGTATATTCCTCAATAGATAAAATCTGTAAAATTAAACACACTTGGTTTGTCTCTCTCATATTTATAAACCACAGATATAGTAAGTAATAACTCCCTACATATTATCTGTCTTTCAAATCAAGAGACAAAAAATAGAAAAACAAAAATGACAAAAAGAACTTAATTGATGTCACTTAGGATGTGCATGTCAACCTTCTCAGAATCAATTCTTTTTTAATTTCTGTTTCCGAGAACAAAAATAGATAGAAAACTCATTTGATAAAACTGGTTTTTTTTTTTGTTCTCGGGATGAACCGATTTAATTTTTGTGCTGGGAAACAGAAAAATGAATCAAAAAATTTATGTTTTTTTATTCCCTGGCACAAAATGAGAAACACTTGTCTCTCTTAATTACCCTCCACCACTACCATCATCACCATCATCATCCCGACACGACCACCACTATCATTGTCGTCGTACCACTAATGTCATTGTCACCACCACCACGATTCCACCGCACCATCGCCACATCACCACCACCATGCCACCATTACCACGACACCACCATCGCCAATATTGCTGCAGCCACTGCCATCACCACCACCACCATCATGCCACTGCCACTAACCACCACCACCATCGTCGCAACCACTGTTGTCTCCACCACCACCATCGTCGCCATCACCACCACCATCACCACAACCACTATCGTCACCACCACCACCATGCCATTACCGCCGCCGCCACCACTACCATTACCACCGTCACCATTGCCACCACCACCACTATGCCACCGCCATCACCGCCACCAACCACCACCACCATCGTCGCAGCCATTGTCGTCACCACTACCACCACCATCATAGCAGCCACTGTGTCTCCACACCACCATGTCATTACCACCACCACTGCCGTCACCACTATCACCATAGCCACTGTCGTCACCACCACCATCATGCCATTATCGCTGCCACCACTACCACCATCATCGCAGCCACTGTCGTCACCACCACCACAATTATCACCGCCACTACCACCGCCACCATTGCCACCACCATCACCAACTACTACCACCATCGTTGCAGTTACTGTTATCTCCAGCACCACTGTGTCATTACCACTATCGCCGCCGTCGACACCACCATCGCCGTAGCCACTTTTGTCACCACTACCACCATGCCACTACCACCATTGTCACAGCCATTGTCATCACCACCACCACCATCGCCACCATTACCACTGTCACCAACTACCACCATCGTCGTCGCAACCACTGCTATCTCCACCTCCACCATGTCATTACCACCACCACCACTGCCATTGCCGCAGCCACTGCCCACCACCACCATCGCCACCACTGTAGCCGCCGCCTGGCCACCACGACTTCCACCACACCACCACCACTACCATCGCCACTATTACCACCATCATGTCGCCATTGTCGCCGCTACCACCACACCATATGGAAAAGAAAATGAATCTAAATTTTTTTTATGCCTAATAGGATTATATTTTATTAATTATTTGTTATGTTATCAAACGCAATTCTCATTCTCGGAATAAAAATAGAATATGTTATCAAACACATTTTTTTTCTCAAAAAACTGTTCCAAGACATAGAAATATAAAAGAATTGTTTCTTTTCAGAAACAGTGCCAGGGAACAGAATAGTTGTCATGCACACTCTTAGTGTTAGAGAAATAGAAAACTATTAACGTAATCTCACTTAATAACTTAAGTTGTTGGGTTGAATTAGTTCTTTACATGGTATTAGAATCTTGGTGTCACGGGTTCGATACTCACTACCCCATATTTAATTAATAATTAATTAAGTATTGTGGAGTTTCTTAGAACAAGTAAGTGGGTATGTGCATCTTTTGAGTTGAATTGGTTCTTTATACTTAGCTAACATAGACCGAGCAAGTGGGCAGAGAACCTGTGTTCTACTCCCACCAAATATAAGGAGGGGCGAGAAGCTTTAATTGTAACTAAACTTCGACTCAGAATTAGATTCATAATCAGCTCAAAGAATTAAAGTTTGTGAAGATATTGGAAATAACTCATCTTAAAAAAGTAATTAGGGTCGTTATAAAAAAAATGAGAAAAAAATGTTGATTCTATATGAAGAGAATTTGAATGGGCAATTGAATAATGAGGTAGGATCCTTTGACACCAGTGTCAAATTTGAAATTTGACACCTCATCTAAGATCCGTTAGATAAAAAAAGATCAATGATGTTGTTGGGTATAGCTCATACTTCTCACGGGTTTGGATTGGATCGGTTTTCATCAACCCATCCAAAAACCGATCCAATCCAATTAAAATTTGCGGTTTTTTTTCGGTTTCTGATTTTTCGATTTTCGGTTATCGATTTTTCGGTTCGGTTTTCGCGGTTTGAATCGGTTGATGAACACCCCTACCTGTGACGGATTGGGGTTTCGCGATTTGGGTTTTTTCTGTGCATAAAGAAAACTGCGAAATTGATCTGGAGAGGATGTCGACTGGCCAATCACGGGTCGAGGTTGAAAAGTTCGGAGGAAAAGGGTTCGAGTTATGGAAGTTGAATATGGAGGTTCTGCTCGTTGACAGGGACGTGTGGCACGTGATCGAAGATGATAAGCCATCGGTACATACGAAACTTGTCGGTGATGAAACGTCAGGTGAAGTCGAGTCGAAGGAGTTGAAGGCGTGGACCAGAGACGATCGAAAGGCGTGTAGCATGATCTGGTTATGCCTGGCAGATAACGTTCTGGTGAATGTAACTTCTGAGAAGACAGCGAAGGATCTCTGGACGAAGCTAGGAGGTCTCTATCAGAGCAAGTCACTCGTGAACAAGTTGTTCCTGCGAAGGAGGCTGTACAATCTGCGGATGAGCGAATGTGATTCTTTCTCTGCTCATTTAAATGAATTTAATACTATTTTTGCACAACTTTCGTCTATAGACAATAACCTGGATGAGGAAGACAAAGCTTGCACCTTGTTGTGTTCATTGCCCAACTCTTGGGAGCACATCATTGTGTCAATTGGTACTGGTGTTAATAAACTGTCGTTTGAGACGGTTGTTGCTGCCTTATTGTCTGAGGAGATGAGAATGGTAGGTTCTGAAGGTACCAGTAATGAGGCTCTGGTTGCTAGAGGGAGGAGTGGTGACAGATCAAAGTCTGGTCACAGAGGAAGATCGAGGGGACGGTCAAAGTCCCGTGATAAATTTGATAAATCTGAAATGAGGTGCTGGAGGTGCAAACAGGTTGGACATCTGAGAAGGAATTGCAGAAGTAAAAGCGTAGGTCCTGAGAAGCGGGATGATTCAAAACCTTATGCTTCGGGTACAAAGAAGGATGATGATGATAGTACAGGGGAC